AGAAAGAAATAGATTAACAACTTATACAATATACAAAGTCAATGAATCAAATTTTTGCGTCAAGATTGTGGCCAAACTGAGCGGGTTCTAAGAGCAAAATTAAACTCATGAAACTCCTAATTCAATTACACCGTCATCCATTTGGTTTGAACAAAACAAAGATGACTTATACCTTTTTTATGTCATAAGTTGAAGGGGTTATCTGTTACTACTGACTAAAGCGTGTGTTTTGTCTAGGTTCATTATATAACAGCCTCTTCGATTAGTCATTTTTGTTTGTCCAAACCAACTGGATCACGGTGTACAGTGACGAAAAATATGAAACCGCACTTCAGAATTCAGATCTCTGAGAAACTCATGAAAATAGAGACTTGGGGGAAATGTAGAATCCGTATTCAATAACATTGAGTGAGTGCGAAAGTCTTTTTTGTTATTCAGGTTGATGGCTGATTGTTGGACCAGGATTTTATGTAAAACACTATTTTCGAGTAAAGAGTAAAGAGTTGGGTGAACCTGTAAGAATCTGTAACCTGATCAACTTTTATGGTTATAAGAACTGAAACCATTCGTGTAGTTAAAAGATTTTATGGTTCTCTGAAGATTTTTGATAAAATCCCTTTTCATAGTTGAAAATTAGATTTCATTTTATTCACAATTTTAATCAATGAAAGCTAATAATCTGTGAATGTTTTAACTTTACTTTTGACAGTTCTCTTGCTCCATTATGGGCACTAACAAGCGCTAGTACTTCAATGTTACTTTCGATATTGTCTATGGTTTCTTCTTGGCTCTTCTGGTAAATCCTCGCAAGATACTGTTTTCTCAACACTTAATAAATTTTTAAGCAGCTTGTCCGATTTCTTCATAGTGTTGTAACTTTTAAAAGTTTCTCTTCGTAAGAATCTTGTGTCACCATCGATGTGTGAATCGATCTGATGAGGAAAAGCACTATAATTTGTTAAATCTTAGGAAATGATAATTTCTTACACACCTTTCCGAATTTATGCGAATGTTCATCAAGAGTTCCGATAAAAGAATAGTAAAACAAAATTTGTCAAATCAATGGAAAAATATTTAGACTTGGTCAGTAAATTAGTAAAAAAACTTACAAAGTTTGTTATTCTGAATCAAATTTTGGTCAACTTTATCTTTTTCATTTGATTCTTAAAAAATGCTCACAACAGGATTTAGTTGCTTTGGTCGTCGATTGTGCCCCGAATATGAGACAAGAGTAGAAATGGCCAAACTTACAAGATCACTTTCTTCAACTCTTGATTAACTTAGACAATTTAACCTCAGTTTTAACTTTTGATTTTGCTGTCGCTAGCTTACCTTACTTTGAGCCTTCTGAAAAGGATTCGCAATATGAACCTTCTGGTAATGTAAATTACAAAACTAGCGATGAATCTAAGATTGAGCTGGAAAAAGTAACCGGTAAAATTGTACCGGTTACGCCCGAAGATGAAGAAGCCATGAAATTTCAAAGCTTTTGGTTGTTCGAGTGCTGTTTTGGACTCGTGGAACCTTGTGGAGTACCTAAATTGTGAAAATGTTCATGATCCATTTGACAGGATTCAATTTAAAGCCATTGTTCATCGATACTTGACGTCAAATGTTCCGTTACCCAATGAGATTATCGAGGATCAAACGTTTGCTACGCCATCACACATATTAAAGCACTGTGAAGAAGTTTTTCGGAATATCAAAGAAAAGTTCAAATTAATCGAAACTCTAAAGGTTTTTCCTCCCAACATAATACAAACAATATTTGCAACCCACAGAAGAAGATGAAATGTGAAAATGATTTAGATACATTGAACTACAATAAAGAGAGTTTGTTTGATTAAATACAATGTTGATGACCATTTCTTGATCCAACGATTGTCCCGACACTGAGGCCCGATCAAACCTTGTAATAACCGGAGGCTGAACCGTTTCTAGCCAAAGACGCAACACTAAACACTGGTTCCTCTGGTAAAATCTGGTCATTAATCATTATAATCAATTAACATTGACTTTGTCAATCAAAGTTGATCACAAAAAGACTTGATAATGTGATAATAATAATGACAGCTTGAAATTAGATTCAACTGATAACAAGTTAATTGGTGAATGTTAATAAATGTAATTAAATGTCGTGTGTAATTGTAACACCATCATTGATTTATTAATACAATGAGTTAACCCTAAACAGGCTCAATCAGTGACAATAACATTGTAAAAACAAGAAGAGTTATGATGTAAATTATATTCAAAATCAACATAACCGGAGGCTTGTTACCACTAACCTTTGACTGTAAATTAGGATAATGATTAATTAATTGATATCAATGTTGAACAATGTGAACAATTTGAATGTTGGATATTTTCATTTCTCATCATAACAACCTCAGTGTATTATCATGTTTAAAAGTCAACATTCCGTGCAACTTAAATTGGATCAGAGAAAAGTTGAGCCTGAGGATTGGATGAAGAAGAAGATGGAAAAAAGAAGAAAAGAGAAAAGACTTTGATTGAAACATGAAGAGTAAAGATTAGGACGAGAGGAAGACCTTCATCAATCTAAGGTAAAGTCAATCATTTAACTTTTCATTTCTTACCGATTCAAGAGGATTAACCTTTTATTTCACCTTGATCGATGGTCTTATAACTTTCAGACTAATCTACATGTAAACCATTTGATTTAACCATTTCTCATTCCATTCAATTCAACATTCCAGATTCATTGTCATCCAAAGAAGAACAAGTCTCTTTTCTTGCAAATTCACTATCAATTTGAATTATTGCTTACCTTTAATGACTAAATCAAATTCAATTTACCTTTTTTTGCTGTTCATTACGTTTGCCTTTTTTTTTTGCTAGACTCTTGTCATTGTCACGTTAACCAACTGTAAACACGGAAGAATGCCTTTCTGTTTTTCTTCATCTTCGTTCCCATCATCATTTTTGTTGTATCTGATCAAGAGAAACAAGTCCAATAATGATTCTTGCAATATCTTGGATTGGAAAAATTGGTTAAAATTGACAGAATGGAAGGTGAACAAGTCCAACATTTGTTGAAATTCAGAGTTTATTTTGTTGCTGATGAGAGCCAAGAGGATAATGGTGATGAGAGAAAGAATTATGAAGATGAAGAAAGATCACCAAATAACCCGGAATACTTGATTATACGTGATCAATTGAATACTCATTTTAGGCTACTTCATGGATGATAACATTGCCATTGCTTAACAATGCACCAACAAATACATCATTGACCAGTTTGTACTTTCCCATCGCTTCCGGTCAGTTTTCACTTTTTTCCTTGTTTCATTTTCCCATTGACAAATTACATGCTACACTGAACCGTTAACCATGCATATGATTACTTACCGTTATACGGGTTTCAATACCGATTATTGAAAAGAAATGCAGAAAATAGTGAATCCAATGTTTAGGTAATGCTTAGAGTTGAGCGATTTATTGATTCAAATTTCATTTTTATATTGATATTGATCTGAAATTTTGATTCCAATTTTTGTCTTTTGTTTCTTTTCTGAATAATCTAGTTCTTTGGTAAATGGACAGAATTGAAAGGTTTTTTTGGACCAATTTTTTTTGCTCCTCTTAACCATGCAAATGATATTCACCAAGTTCAATGGTCAGTCCATCCTGAGTTGACTTTTTTTCGCTGTTGAAATGTTATCTAAGGAAAGGAAAGAGATAATGAATGGAATGATATTCATTGAACTGGATGCGTGTTTGCAATCTGATTTGACCATTTTAAGGGTAAAAGACATTCAAATAGACCTGATCTTCATAATGAGCTTGATGACGATGACTTCCTATGTTGAGACAAGGCTGATGCCACTGATAAACCCGCAAGGCATGAAACTTTCAAGTTAGGATTAAAAAAAGAAGCAAAATAAAAGCTCAAATTATAGCAAAAGGAGAAAGTAATGAGATACTCTTCATCTTCATCTTCATCTCTAGTTTTGTCTCTATTCATTTCAATCAGAGTCAATTTGGACTTTACTTTTACTGTTTCCTTATTACTAATAACGTTATTATCACTATTTATCTCAGTTTATGATTAATTTAATATTAATCGAAATTAAAGTTGACTATTTTGCTTGAAACAATTTCACCGTCAATCATAAATAATAGATAAGAATCATTGGAAGAAAATGATTTAAATTGCTTCTTCAAATGAAATTGATCAACACAAATCAGGATAATTTTGCATCTTTCTTGGTGAAAATTGAAAAAGGTTAACCTTTAAATCCATTGAAATGACAGACATTGAAAGCTCATCAATTGTTTCATTAAGCTTATAATTTTACTTAAAGGGTGAAAGTTTCAATGAATATTTAAAAGGTACAACTTAATCTGAAGCAATTTAACATGATTAAGATCTGTTAAGATGAAGACTCAATATAATACACATGATAATGATGAAAAGGTGGAAACAATCTGCTTTAGAGTTGGTTGAGCTTAGTTCATGTTTATAATGGTGATGATTGTTTCAACTATAAAAGTTAATGTTGACCATTTAGTATCAACTAATCTGATAATGTCCATAATCATCAGCTTAATGGCTAATATGACCACTAGTCACTAGTTTATAAAGTAGCTTCATGTTTAAGAGTAATTGATCAAGTTGAAGGGCTTTTCTGCCGGTCAATTGTTAGTGCATTTTTTGGCCAACCATTTGACAAGTGATCAACAAATGGTGACAATCAAAGTGTTGAAAGTGAATTACAATGCAACAATTAAATAGTTGAAGTGAAACTGACTTTTAAATGGTTAATTTAAGGCATTAATCTTGAAGATAAAGGCTCATGAAAATGATCGGTAAAATGGGAAAGAGTGAGGTAGAGAGAGAGAGGAAAGAAAGCAAGTCTAAGATGATGATGATGATGAGAGTTGGGAAGGAAGGAAGATCAAGGAGTGAGAGAGAGACGGGAGAGAGACAAGATTGGCAGGAGGTCGAGGGTTTGAGAGATTTCAGTTTGTAGATCCAGTTTCATATGAAGTGTCGATCTGGTTACCGTTTTGCTGAGTTATGTGATTGTTGAAAGTTATTGTAACATTGATTAAACCCCTTTTGGGCTTACAAAGGTTAACACTTGGTTCATCTATCCGTCTTCATTGGGTTCACCAGTAGCGTCCTCCTTCACCCTTCACCCTTTCATCTAAAGCACAGCTTTAACTCATCGATATTCAGTGATTTTGTGTGTGTCTGTGTTTTGTTTTGTTTTGTGATACAAAAAGACTTACATTTTAAACCAAATTTTTGGCCAATTTTCACATTAAAAATTGGACAATGTTATCGACCAGTTCAAATATTATTCAACTATTCACTCGGTTTACATTCAACTCTTTCATCAACCTATACTCAACCTCATCATCATTAGCATCATGCATATTCGTCTTCTTGTACTTACTCTGTGTTATTCCCTTCTCAGCTCCTCTTCCTAGGAATCTTGAACTAGGTGGAAGCTGTCGTTCATCTCTAGAATGTTTAACCGCCATTCCTCATAGTCACTGTGAATGGGAGGAAAGGATATGTACATGTCAACCTTATCATATTAAACTCAACAGCACTATTTGTCTACCAGGTAAGTTGATCAAATGGTTTCAGGTTCATTTACAAGTGATGAAGCTATTTAAACAATTTTATACATTGGATAAATGTTGATAAAAATAGTCGATTCAGTAGATTCGAGAAATTTGCATTTAAAAATGAAAAACAATTATCTAATTTGTAAGTCGCGCTTTTAATGTGCAAGCAAACCATTGGATGTACAAATGAACCAATCAGTCATGTCATTGTTTAGAAATTAGCTTTTTTCTTGTAAAGCTTTGTGCAAAAGTATTGAGAAAATTCATTTTAATCATGAATTACGATTTTACTCAAAGATTAATTTGAATAGAAATTTCTATTGGGTCTAAATTTTAATAATAAACCAATTTAGGATCGTCGAATTATCTTTCATCTCATTAAGCAAAATCTGTTGAAATGTGAAAAATGTCCAATTGGAAATACTTCTGCATAAAGCTTCATCTTCTGTTGATTATATTTCCAATTTTAATCCTTTGACCTTCTTCTTGACCATCATCTTCATCATGCCATGGATAAACAGCTTCACTATTAGGTTTTGGCTGCTCAATTGATGAACAATGCACCATGAAAGTGCCAAACAGCATGTGTATCAATGGATCCTGCCAATGTAAATCAAATTTCGTCCAAATCAGAAGAGATAAATGTTTAGCCCGTAAGTAATAATTTAACTCAACATATCATTTTAGCCATTTAATAATGATAATAATTTAATTACCAGCCATTAACATTAATCAATTTAATACCAAATCGTATACTCTTGGTCCTAAAACCTTGTACAAAGTGAAAGTATAAAAAGTAAAAAGCAGAGAAGCCAATTCATCAAACCCGAAACACCAAAAGAACCAAAAGATAAACATAAACTAGCAAACATTATTTATTCGTATTATTATTAATTATAATGATAATTTTCAATCAACAACGAAACAAATCATTCAACCTTTATAATAGTTATCTTTCTATTCTTCTTTTTTCCTCTTTACCTGTCTAAATGTTTCAATCAGAAAACATTACCCAAGGCATTCAGGCCCATATTTTACTTTTATCTGTACCTATGGTCATTACCATCATGTATTGCAGCAACCATGAGCCAAGTTGTTTTTTATAATTGATAACTCAATTTAGCTGTTAATTGCTCAACAAAATAACAATCAGCAGAAGCAAATATTTACCATAAAGTATACAAATGTATCATGTTAACATGTTTTAAGGATACAAGAAGCTTTGGACAACAAAGGTTATTCAAGGAATCTAAATTGAGCAATTTATTTTCTCTCTTCATTCCTTTTATAATGAGCTTATTAATATTTGCTAATTAACATGCTAATCTAGTTAATCTTAGGCTCTCTTTGTACTAACATCAAGTTAATTACAAACCCATTCAACTGATACCTGAGTTGCTCTCTGTTAATTTCGTTATCAAGTTTCGCATTTTATTTCATTCTCATTCTAATACCAATTCATCTTTTCTCCTTTTCCTTCTAGCTGCTAAGATGGATGATTATTGTCTTAAAGATGAACAATGTACCCTGGGTGGAAAGTATACAAGGTGCAAATTTATTATACCCAGAGTCTACGGTAAATGTCGATGTCCTCTTGGTTATGTGGTAACTGATGATAAACAGTGTTTACCTTGTAAGTTTTATCCATCACCACACATACAGGTTATCATGATAAATTGTTGCCTGTTTTTTTTAGTGGAAAGCTGATGTTTTCAAACAAGCGAGAAAATCAAATGCAAAATGGAGAAACGAATCATAATAATAGCTCAAAGACAATATAAAATGCTATTTGATTATCATTTTGGTGTTTAGTTTATCTGGAAACATGTCAATAGTTGAACATTATTTATTTAATTTTTATGCTTTCCTTGACTCTCTTTGCTTCATGGTTAATAACATTGGTAAATCAGTTACTTATATCGAGTTAAATTACATGTATTAACGTCTTAACAATTTAACATGATGGCCATTATGTGTTCAATCCTCTCTCACCATATTTTGATATTTATCTCATTTTTTGCTCATCTTTTTAAATTTCGCTCTTTTAATTATTTTTTGTCTTTTTTTACCAAATCTAATTATTCAATAGCCATTGGAAGTAAATGTGAATTAAACAGTGAATGCAGTAAAATAACGCCTAATAGTATTTGCTCCAAAACAACTGGACAATGTGAATGTGATGTTGATTACAAAGCGTCTGATGATCGATCCAAATGTGAATTGATATTTAAACCTTCAGGTAAGCTGATCATTTTATGCTTTATTTATTGACCTGCAAGATAATTAACTTTTGAGCAAAGTTTAAACTAAAAATATCATTTGATTTTTTGGATTCTTTTATGGTTATCTCACTAAATTCAATGATCATATTACCATAAATTAATTGAAAATAAAATCACTTGTTTGATACAATGTTAATGTCTTGATGGTAAATAGATATTTTGTAACTGAACACAAATTTGTAATTTAAATTAATTTCAATGCTCATTAACCTCAAGCATTCATCTAACCTCAAGTCTACTAAAACTCATGTAAATGAGCATGAAACATATAGTGGTGAAAAATGAAACCTTTTTTTAGATGAAAGGATGAATGAATCTCTGATGTCAGCTATTGTGATTTCATGATGACAAATCTAGATTTTTTCTAGGTTTAGATTATTATTAGACATCAAGAAGTATTCAAATTAAATTCATACAAGATTCATTTTTCAATCAATTTAGGGGCGAATTGTTTCATTTTATTTTCACCAATTATAACTCAATTTTTAGTAGACTTGGCGTTTCCAAACAACAATTCAGTTACTTTAAATTTTGATACAATTAGATCAATTTAAAGTCATTTGCAAAAGAAAAATGCTAAAAATTGTAATTCAAAACCAACTAATCAATGTTACTTTTACCATTTTTACAGAGACTCCTAATGATATAATTGAAGAGGATAGTTCATCTGCTCTCGATTTAGGACCAGTTTCTTTGGGTAAACGATGTCGATCATCCATTGAATGTCAAATACGAGATCCTTATTCAGCTTGTATCAACGGAATATGTGAATGTTTATCGCGAACCTCTAAATGCAACTCATTCAATCCAGGTAAGAAATCGGATTAGATGGTGAATCAATGAATGTACCATTAAAGCAAATATCATGGATCAAATTGAAAACCTTACAGAATTGTTAAGATTACAAACCAATTATTGTTAGTTATTTTCTTGGAGCGCAATTTCATAATTTAACAAGTTTCAACTCAACCTTTACTCAAGCACAATTTAATCAACCTACAAGACAGACCAGTATTCAAAAGCCAACAATTATTATTGGATTGATTCAGGGAAGAAAAGTAGTTTCATGAATCATCATTTATTGCCTGATCAAGTCAACGGCTTCTGTTGTTATTTGCTTTCAACAACTTTCACTTGTAACCTTTAATCTGTCCATTTTCATCGTGATTGTTTGGCGTGCTTAGTTTGCTGATATGATTCTTGAGCTACTCTAGTTCAGTTGGTTGGTAAACAGTGAATCAAATCATCATGAAGGCAGAGAGAGAGAGAGCAAAATTGAAACCAAGCTTCAGGCCTTACTCTTTTTCCATCCATCAATTTGCTTCCATTATTTAAACATGATTGTGATTACCGTTGATTATTCCAAATGTAAACTTGTTATTGAAACACTAACACTCTTTTCTTTAATTGTTTCTTCCCAGGCTGTCATAATGATACATTTCAATGTCGCTCTGGTCAATGTATATCATGGTACTTTGTATGTGACAAAACCAAAAACTGTGAGGATGGATCAGATGAGGATGAATGTGAACCTTTCAGTGAGTAAAAACAACAATTAAAAGGAAACAAACTGAGGTTCAGTTTCTGGAAATTAAATGATGAGAGATGCATGGCGACGGTAACACCATTCACACATGATAAGGCAATTTGATGGTCACATAAATGCAAATGAACAACATTGTAAAGACAACATTTTCCTTGTTGACCCTTCTCAACGAGAAAATGGTCAAAGAGATAATCTTGAAGTTAACCTTTTTCCTAATTCATTTCTCATCTCTTTACCTCAATTAACTAAAATGTAGAGCATAGAATTATCTTTATCTTTTGTCTTTTCATCTCCAAGTTAATTTAATTTGCTGAGCACAACATGAAAAGACCAAATCAGATAGAGAAACAGTTTTGTCAACATGATTCTTCTATTTACCTTGTTTACTGTTCATTTGTTGATTAATGTGAATCCATCTATTCACATTCACAACTTGAAACAATGGTTAATTGCTTTCATCAAAAAGCGCACAACTTGAACTATTTTTTCTGGCCTAACCACAGCCGTGAGTAAATTTGACCTCTCACTTTACCGTGGAAATGTTATTCAGTTCAGTAGATTAACATGGTGGCAGATGGTGATGTAGCTCAACCAAGCTCATCATTACCCTGAGACTTGCGATTGTTGAACAATATTCCCAATGATTTGCTGACCTTTTCCTGTTTCTTAACTCATAATGTTTCCCTCATAACTGGACAATCCTTTTTAACATACAAAACCATATTAATCATTTCCTCATTAGACTTTAGACAATTTTCAACAATCAAAAGGCCACATTGATTCACACACCAAACTGCATGTTAGTCAACATCTCAATTCATAACCAGTCAAGATTAACACATTGATCAATATTATGAGAAAGCTCAGTGAATGATGATAATGATGATGATGAAGAAAAGAACCTTTTCTTTCACAAACTTTACATCAATTTTTTTTCTTCTCTCAACCTTTGTTTTCCAACTAATAATCTTTTTTTTACCTTATTGTTTCTTCATTATCAAATATCATTTGAAACTAAATTAACTTGAAAGGTTAACAGCAAAAAGTTGGATAATTTCACACAAAAACTTCCTCAAATGAATCCCATGGTTGATAATTTTTTCCTCTTTTTTCATGCAATTGTTCATTTCTATTTCCTATTGCTCAATACAATCAATAGTACTTTGCCTCAATGAATTTATGTAACATCTTCATCCGATCATTGTCACCTTTTATTGTCTTCATTAACTTCCCAATGAGAAAAGGTTAACACACACACAATCAGAAAAAATGAGTAAAAACGTTAATTTTTTACCAAAGTTTAATGATTGTTAATGAATTGTTGATTGAACCTTTAATTATAAACATGAAGTCAACTTGGGAAAGGTTTGTTTGCTTTAAAATATTAATTAACCAACAAATCATTTTCAATTGCATTTACAATTTCAATCGCAAAGTTGAATTGAACAGTTTAATTAACACATTCGTGATCAATCCATTTACATTGTAATCAATGATCAATCACCAATGCGAACAAGATTAATATTGAAAATTATTTTTCCTCATTTCTTTTGTTGAAACCCACGTTTCAACAATATTTTCACAGATTAAAACCTTAATGAATCCTCAGTCATTTACCTTTTATTTATGAATCCATCGATGAATTTATCATAGATTTGTATTTATACTTGGAAAACATTTATCTTTCAAATGTTGACTTGATGTTTATTTTTGCTTTTTCATATTTTTTTCAATTCATTTTTCAAAGATTATCTTTTCTTTAATTACAGTCAAATAAACGTACATTTTAGTGGAAAAGTCATCGGAAGCTCTTTGGGAGTGACCTCAGGAAAGGTCGTTGAGAGTAATGCTCATTGTATACATGTTACCAAATGAAATAACCCCGTTGGGCTCAAAAAGCCCGAATAGTTTGGTAAACAAAAAAAAATTAATTGCTTCTTGACCATGATTAAGGCTATGTTTATACCTTGTTGAAGAAAGTGTTGTGATCTATCACATTAATGGCTCAATGATTTACGATAATGGCTACCATGGATAAGGCGGAGAAAGCATGAAGATGAGAAAGATGAGGAAAAAAAATGATGAATTTAAGGAGCAAACTAGAAAAAAAAACGGACATGAAATGGGTTGAAAAAGAGCAAAGGTTTCAAGTGTGAAAAAGATAGCCAAGTTTTTTTTCAAAATTCACTGTTAACTTAATTGAAATCTTGATTTGATGAGGAAGAAGGGAATCATGATCGTCTTTTATCAATTGTAATTTAATATCAAAGCCATTTCACCTTTCTTGACATTATACATTTGACATTTATGTTGAGCCCAGTTTGATAGGAAACATTGTTATTTGTTGACAGAAAATGATATTTTACTTGATGTACATTTCATTTTAATTGTTCAATCCAATTGTTAGCCATTTCTCAGTTTTTTATGTTTTCCCAAATTAATGCTTTTCCTTTCATCTTTTGTGATTTACTTTCATTGTATTCACATTTCTAACTTCATGATTAATTCATGATCAACTTGACAACTTAAAACTTCATTTTCAACCCAAAAACCTTTAGGTTAACCCAAGTTAACCACAAGTCTGGTTTGTTTTACACACAAGACTCACGGTTGACTCATTAGTCCAAACCTTGTTCAGCAAATGCTGATTTGTATTGATTATTGTTTATGTTGATTACTGATTGTTTCAACCGATAATGTCTCTTTCCCTGTCAACAGTCAATCAACCTTTTTTTCAATTTAATCATGTTGGTGACCTGATGATCATCTAATAATCTTTTTTACCTTTCATCATTGTTCAACTCTCCATTCATCCTTGCTGATCATTTATCAGTCCAATGTTTTCTTGCTTCCTCCTTCTCTTTACCATCTTCATGATCGTCATCATTCCTTCTTCCCTATCATCTTGATCGTCAAGATTCATTGACATTGAATCTTGTCTACTGATTGTTTTGCTTGAAAAAAATACATTTCAAGATAAAACCATCAATTAACATGTTTACTGGCTACCGTTAACTACTGTTTATTTCAGTCTATTTTTCATTCACTTTTCAATCTCAGACAATTGTTCATTTTACCCAAGATTTACCTGTGTAATTACAGGATTAGACGGCTAAAGAAGCTAAAATATTTTGTTAGCAAAGAGTTAAAAGAAAGTTTAACCTGAAGAGCTAATCGTGATTGAATAACCCTTTGATTTGATTGTTTCCAAATCAAAGTAAAAGTATTAATGTTATCCTTTATCCAAATAACTGGTAATTTAATTGTTACCAGTGAAAATATTTGTGTGAAATGTTAATCAATTTGATTCACTTTTTGTTGTTATTCATCAATCTAGTAACAATTGAAATGAATGCTTTTCTGGTGAGAAAGGGTTCAATATACCATTTTTTGTCTCGATAATCTTTCAAGACTTTCACTTGAAGCCAATCCAAAAACCAAAAGAAACTAAACCGTCAATTAACTTTGATTGTTACCTTTTATTGTTTAAATCAATTGAAATAAACGTTTGTCTCATCATTTGCCTTTCATCTTGACCATGAATATTCCAAACATGGAACATTTGAAAAGACAAAAGAAGGTCACCAAACCTTAACCGAAAATGTTTCAGGTCACTTTTCCTCTGAGAGACAAATTTCACTTTTCTGATTGTTCATTGTTCAATATCATCTGAAAAGCCTGCAGAAATGGGAAAATCTTGTTTCTTTTTTTACCCTTGATTAACTGATTGTTTTGGGGTGAAAGTAAAGAGTAAAATTATCCTGGAAACTCATTAATCTTGTATCATGATTGGAAATTTTCATAACAGAGTCAACAATAATGACAGATAAAGAAAAGGTTGAAAAGGCAAAAAAGATACAAGAGGTTGAAACCTGAATTGGAAGCAAATTCAATTGAAATCGTCTCTCAGCCAATTGAATCTTTACAACTTTGACTTTTCATATCATGCTCAAGCTGAATGGTGATAACTTTTAATTTTTACCTTTTCCTTTCATCCATCTTTATCTGTGTGAACACAGAAAAGAAGCTGAAAAACAAAGCAAAAAAATGAGTTGAGGCTGAAACACCCTGCGGCTGAATCTAACCCAAGCTCAATTTGATATTTATTTTTTGTTCCTTTTTTTTGATTTATATTTATTTATTTTAACCTTACCTATCAAACTAATTGGTGTTACTTGTGAATTTTTATTTTCTTTTTATCTCTTCTTCTCGATATTCAATTGCCATCTCTCATCAACTCTCTAACCTCATCTTTCATATCAACACTTATTCATTTACACTTTTTCCATGTTCATCTTGTTTCTAATTTTTGGTCTTTTCTTTTTTTTTCTTTTATTCTTTCAGAATGTCCCCGGGAAGCATTCCAATGTGACGATGGATCTTGTCTCAGTCGATCAGCTGTTTGCAATGGCCGCTGGGAATGTCCTGATGGAAGTGATGAGGCTAGATGTTACAAGGGTGAGTTGATGTTGAGGCTTATTCAGCTATTCATCTCACTCTTACCAACTAATTGTTATTAGTTGTAATTGCAGAGTTTACAGTGAAAAAACGTAAACTTGTCTTTCCACTTACATCATCATTATCGTCTCTATGTGTCTCTGTGTCGTTGATAGTCTGCCAATTCGAGACCAGTTCTCCCACACATTTCCAGAGCACATAATACAATATAATAACTTGTCTAATTAATGATACAAATTGAAGGTTTTACCTTTTATTACCTTCTTTTTGCCATCAATTTTCTCTCAATTTTTCACTTTCTTTTCTTCTTTGCTTCTCCACTACATAATGATCATTATTTACCTTGGCTCATAGTCTTTGCTTCTTTATTCATCTTTCACTTGTTATCACTCTAATGACTTTATCTGTTTCTCTTGAAATTACCTTGTTTTAACTTGAACTTTCTTTCTTCTTTTATTTCCAGGTATTCCTTGTGATAAAAAGTCTTTTAGATGTAAAAGTGGTCAATGTTTACCTCAATATACCTTTTGTAATGCGGTAACCGATTGTCTTGATGGATCTGATGAGATACAATCTGTTTGTGAATACTGTAAGTTTACAGTTTTACTTTGGTAAAAAGATGAAACTGGAAATTGAGTAAAAATGAAAAACTAGATTGGATGATAAGCTGGTTGTCAACAGTTGCGAAAACGCATCTTTTTTTATTGAAGAATCTTTGTTTCTTTGAAACCAATCCGAATCATCATTATCATCAATGGATAAACTGGATTACTGGTGAAGAGGAAGAAGAAGCACAAACAATTGTTGAAGATATAGTTTAAATGATGAACGGTTGAAAGGGAATGATTGATTGTGTATATTAAAGACAATTATATTTCAATGGGATTTACAATTTACCCTTGAAATTCATATGCATCGTATAAATGATTGATTAAGCTGATTATGTTGACAGTTATTTGTAATGATTACATATTTCAATGTTTATTTGTATAAATAGCTGGAAATCAGTAAACACGCAGCAAAAAATTGAAGCTATTTTCACATCCAATTGACTCTAACTCCATCTGTCGAACTGTTATTAATTGTTTGTTTCTTTTGTTTTACAGCAACCAAATGCCCCAAGGGTATGTTCCAATGTGAAAACAAGAAATGTCGATCAACAGCAATCCTCTGTTCTGGCGTTGACGGTTGTGGTGATAATAGTGATGAAGAACGATGTGAAGTTTGCTGTAAGTAAACCATCTGATCGAAACACAAGACCAAAAGACAATCAAAAATGATGACAATAATTCCAGACACTTTAAAGCATTCAATGTTGTCTCCAAGAAATTAAAGACTTTCAATTCACTTGTTGATCGTTCACAGACTCAACATGTTTTAATTTGGTGTTAGTGGGTTTTCATGAATCCAACCATCTTAGCTTCCCATCTGAATCTAGATATGGTCAGATGAATATTAGGATAATTTGATGTTTTTGTTTTTCAAAGTAAAGTATCAAGCGAGTTTTGCGTGATTGTTATTGTCAGTTTCATCAAAAGTCAACAGTTTTTCAATTTACCAATTCTAATTGCTTAATTAGTATTGTCATATCATCAATTGTTGATGAAATGAATTACACTTGCCTTTGTTAATTTAGTCTCTTGCTAACAAAATTGTTGCCCTTCTTCATAATTTACTGTTGTCCTTGCATCAAACCAACTGAAAGGCTAAAATTAATATTGTTAACGATTGTTTGACACGCAAATTAACCCTCTAATCTTGAATTATTGTTTAATTCAGTTTTGGAAAATACTTTTGTTTTAATTTATTTTGACAAATTTGATCCAATCATTCATTTATTTTCAATTTTCATCGTTAAATTGCCACTTTATGCTTAGTCTTTTCACATAATCGAGATTACGTTGAACAATATTTCCAATTTTTACCTTGAATTAATCATTAGAATCAAATTTCCTGGAGAAAGTTTGACAACCACTTGTTATATGCGTATATTCAACAAATTGTTGATTCAATTGTTTCAACGGAAATCTTAATCAGGTTATTGTTGAAACAGTAAATTATGATGAAAATGTAAACACATTGGAATTGCTTTTTGGTCATTTTGTTTCATTTTTTGATTACATTCAATATTAATATATTTTTTTTCTTTCCCATTTCCAGATTGTGAAAAACCACCGAATTATTAATTATTTATTAAAATTCATTTTATAATAAATAAAAAACATTTTTCTCACCTAAATAATTGCAAAGACTGATTACAATGACTGACAATGAAAGGCCTGAAAGGAAGCAAATCAACAATAATTTCATTGTAAATTTGAATATAATTATTATTGATATAACAGTAATCAGAAACCATCGTGAATCTCATTGTATTGTCCAAAAAATGATGTTAATCATATAATTTTGTTAATCATGGCAGAAAGATTCAGGAGCAGAAAAAAAAGGAATCACAATTGGCCATTATTTCAAATCATAATACACTTTGAATGGTTCAATGATCTCTAAGCAAAACTGTCCTTCAACATGAAATAACGAGCAATTAATCTAATTCTGACCATTGGGAGACTAACTATTAGCCAATGATAACCAAATTTGTCTAAATAATTGCAATAGTATGAGTAATTGGAATCCTCTCAAGTCATTTCCCATGTAAATAGCAAATCGTAAATAGTCAAGTTTTTGTAATCATAAGAAATCTGCCTTCGAATAGCAAGTGTAAACAAAACTCTTAATCAGGTAAGATAAATGGTTATTATTCCGGTTTAATTTACGGAACACACAAATTTGTTGTGAAAAAATGAATGAATTGAATGACAATTGTTTCCCAGTAACCGCAAGCTGATCAAATTTAACCCAGTAATACAAATACAACCAACAGATTTGGGTTAACCACAGAGAGTCTATAGCTTGCCCCATTAGCTGTGGTTAAATTGTGGTTGATTTAAGTTGAAAAACACGGAATCATGCCATTAATAAATGTTTATATCACAGTTCTGTCACAATTAGTAAATTTCTTGTCATAGTGTTTCCCTCATTTACCTAAATCATTTCCACTCTTGAGCCTTTTCCCTTTTACTTTCATTATTATTCGTTTTCATTTCTTTCTTTTTGTCAACTTGGTTCTATTCATTGCACATTTTCAATTGAAATTGCCACTCCTGTTAACTGGTTAACTCGTTGTCCACAATCACCATCACCATCATCATAATCATCATCTGAACATAAATTATATTTCGTGTTACCTTGTAAAAAAAAGAGGTAAAAAAGAGAGAAAAGGCAAAAATTTATTCACAGCAATCACAATCATCAACACAATCAACAGCTCACTTTAACTCTCTTTGTTCCTCTATTTTGATTAACTCAGTTTCCATCTTGATTAAAAGCTGGTCACTTGATTTTCAGCCAATTTCAATCACTTATCAAGAAAAACCTGAAAAATGTTTACCAATTCACATTCATCTTCATCTTGGTTAATTTTCGTCATCTCTTATTACCTCTTCATCATCTCTCTTCTATCAACATCATCAATTGTTTCGGGTTACAATGGTTATGGACCTTATGTTCTCGGTGAGTTGACCTTACCCGGGCGAATGGAAATAGATGCTCGTTGTCCGAAAGCATTTCTTGATTATCGGTATAACGAGTGTAGAGATGATGTTCGAGTCGATTGGTCTGGAACCAAGAATGCCTTGAAAGCTGAATGCTGTTATGTCCTGGATGATGCCCATTGTATCAGGGAATCGGTGAAACGCAATTGTCCACCCGAAGTACTTGATTTCATGGATGAAATCTTGTTGTCCACTGAAAGCCAATGGAGATATTCAACCGAGTGTCATGACTATTATAAAAGATCTTTGTGCCATTTCCCTATTTGGGCGATCGTTCTTTTATCCATTGTTGGTGCTATCCTTTTATTTGGTTGCATCGGTGGAATCATTTACTGGAAATGCTGCCGTTGAATCAGTCCATGGATTACAATTTACCAATTTTTTGATTCCTTCATTTTTTGCTTACAAAACTCAACTCTTCAAAGGGATAAAACTTGCCTTCATTTACCTTAGTATTTCACTTTTCATACAATATTTATCTACATCTTTTTCGTTAACAATACAAGTTGTATTAGCAGTTAAATTGTCTAGTTTAACCGTAATTTGTTTTTTTGTAATTCACCATTTTTAACTATTACGATCCTTTGAAATTGCTCATTTGTTTCTGAAAGAAATAAAAAACACTTTTCTCTTGATTTTAAATTTTGGTTTGATTCTCGGCCATTTTAGGTTTTGGGTTATTTGGGTTTGTCATCATTTATCAACAAATTAATGTAAACGTTTTCCAGTTTAATTGTTATGATTTTGTTGCTCAGTTAATCGACTTAACCTTTGGCAAACCTCTTTGGATGGTCTTTTGTTGCTCAAATGACCAGAAACCAGAAAATAAATAATGACTCTTCATTTATCTGCAGTCAAGTTAGTACTGTAAGTAATTATTTAATGTTGGTTAAGTGGATAAGTGATTTAAAATAGATTATCTCTAATAAAATTGCCTCAAAGGTTAATTCCTATGTTTAACAGTGAAAGTGTTTTGTTCTGGTGTACGTATTAATTAACCTGACATAGCAACATGTTGACCTTTTAATTGATTAACAATATCAATATCATTTTAGTCTTGTTTTCATCTCACACTCATTCACTGATCATTAAAACTCTAGCAATAATCTTATTCACCTTTTTAATTAACAATTAATTCTAGCTTTTAAATACATGTTGCAAAACATTGGTTTACATTTTTTACCCACCAAATTGATTCATCATCAGCATGTTTTATCACAGCCAACATTATCATCTTCAATCATTAATAAAACATTATTTACTATCGGCATTCATAAAAAATCAATTTAGACCAAAGTTTTAATTTCATCATGAGAAACAACAACTCAACGTAGGTCAACAATTTGGTCAAAATCGCTGTTAGAATTCAATTTTAAACATTTCAAGATTTTAATAGGAAATTAATTCTTTCAATTTAACCTTTAATGAACAAATTATCAACAATCAATCAACCATTGGAATGGTTTTTATTTGTTTGTAACCATAATTATCTTTAACTTTCTCAAGCAGTTGCTGTATCCATCAAGCAGTCAGAGTAAAATAGATTTAATTGTGTTCATCAATTTTATTGTGATTCCCATCGAAGATAATTTTATTAATAATATACTGACATTGTGAGGATTAAATGTACGATTTCTTTATTCGATTTTTTCGATATTTTCCTAGTTAAACGTCAGAGGTGAATGTTTCCGAGGCTTACAACTCGAGGCTAAAATCTTTCAATAGATTACTATATTCATCTAGAGAATCAATTTCCATAGATTTAAGTAGCTGGGAACAAAAATTCTGGTCGATTTCTTTCAGACTCTGTTCTGACTTACAATTGAAGAATCCACTGAGTTCTAAGAATGCTGGATTAAATTTAAATTGGTTCTTTAATCCAAAAGAAGCTTTACGAATCCAAATGAAAACTCGTATGGAGTCATTAGATTCATTCCTTGTGATGAATAAATTGTATGCCTGGTCATCATGTGTGTACACATGATCAACCAATCTCATGACTTTGAATACAACTTGAGGGATCATCGAAGCAGAAGTTATCTCAAACATGAAACCAGGAAGCGGAAAATCGGTAAAAATGGGATTACTCTCTGAAACAACTGAGACAGATTGAAGATATAAATAATCCCTTTGGTGGTAAACATGCCAATGACAGTGATTCACTGAGGCTTCAGCGCCAAGAGAGTTGAAACCCAGCCGATAATATTGACCTAAGGCACAGAATTCGATAGCCATTTGCAAAGATGAACTGGTTAATCGTTGAGGTAAACATTTTTCTGGATCAATAACCATCAGTGAACTACAATATTCAATTGGACTATTGTTTATTATGATATGAGCAACAGGACAGTCCGAATCATCTCGTGAAACTTTGAACAGCAACTCTTGGGGTTTAATTTTGTTGAAATTGAATTTGTTTCCATCAAATGGTAATGTTGTCGATGTTACTAGCTGTGGTTGTCGCCTTGCAACTGCTCTTCCAACGTTTAAATGCGTCAAAAATTTGTATTTACCCGGAATTGTTTGTTTGGCAGATGGATTAAATTTGTAGAGAAATAAATCATCGATTGCATGCAATTGAGTCCAACTTTTTTCCAATAAATGGTCAATAAATGTTGCCTGATATGATTTATCGACTACTGGATGTAACTTGAAAAGCAAATTGGCATCGGTATAGCGAACAATTCCTATTTTGAGTAAAAAATTCACAATTAACAAATCTATTTTAGGATAAAGATATAAATTATGGATGCAGTTGAAAACAGCATTCAAAAATTTAATAAAATTTAACATTTAGATTTAAGTTTAGATTTTTACAAAACAATTACCGGGACACTTGAGGCAAAATCAATATTAAAAATTACATAGAAACTGAAAGTAAAGTTTCATCACAATTGGTCTTTAGTTTATGCTTGATTTAAAATTACTTGGAATCAAACTGTGCAATATCAAAACTTCACAATGATCTTGAGCCCATGAAGATCCAGTCTCATCCAGATTCATCAAAATATAACACCAATTTTTGAACCAAAATGAGCTTTATGCTCTTAACCAGAATAGGATTGCGTGTGGTTGTAAAATTTTAAATAGATTGACGCTTCTCATCACGCTCATCCCAAATGGTTTTACCTGAGCAGCTACAGATTTTTTTATCATTTCCATAGATAGGAGAGACTCTTGCAATGATTGCTGCTGATAATTTACGATTACTTTCTTGTTCTTTAATTACCAAAGATCGACCAATGACATTAGAGAGGTCACAATTATCAAAGTTACCACGGAATAAACACCTTCGAGCTATTGGCTTAACTTTGTCTAGAACGGGAACTTTTACAGGGCCGACATTATCGATATTTCGCAGATCTCCAAATTCATGAATATCTAAACGACAATGGTTTGTTTCGCTACTCAATTTAATGTGATCAATGACTCCATCGACAAGACATCGGTTATCAGACAGCTGAGCTAATCTTATAACACCAATCAAATCATCAGGACCATTAAATTCTGAAACAGTGGCTAAGCCTTCGCCAATTCCTTTGATAACCGTTCTTAATCCAGTTTTATCTTCAATTTGATTCTGCAAATCTGGTATAGTTAGCTCAGCATTTTCAGCGACTTCGATTAACACTTGCTGCTTAGTGACATCTATTGAATGTATAGTTATTCCAGTTAAACCATTTAAAGCTTGTCTAATTTTGTTGGCGCAATTATCACATGTCATTTCACAGTTGAGCTCTACCTGAAAAAAGGAAGAAAGAATGAAACTTCCATATACACTTACCAAGAGAACCAACCTTAGCAGCCATTTTAACAACGTAATAGAAATATCAAGAGCAAGATAATCGTAAATTACTTCAAGAGCGCAAAAAATTATCACCAAGTAGAAAAGAAATGAAACAACAAAATTATTAAGTGGCAGAAAATCTAATAAAAGTTAACACAAAATTACACTTACAATTTATCAGTCCAGAAATAGCAAAATGGGTGAATTGAAATCAGCATCAAAGTCACAATTGAAACTAATCGCGATAATAATAAGCAACGCAAATAATCTGCCTGAATAAGAGATGGTAAAAAACCGAGTCAACATTTAAATATCAAACAGTTTCAGTAGATTAGCAAGTTGCATAATGATAGATTCCTTGCATATTCAATATAAGACTGATAGTTTAACATAGAAATAGCTTAATTACCACAATAATAAACAGATTGTAACGTAGGCCTAGTAATGAGGAAAATCCAATGTTAAGTCAATACCTTTTTCTTGAGTAAATTATCAATACTCAGCTTCTGACAGTACACAATACTTTAATTTCAATAATCAATAACAACAAATTATAAATCAAATAGAAGAAGTATAATCACTAGAAAAAGTAATAGATCAAGAAAAACGTAAGTCGAAATAAAATTTTAGTGAATTTTTTTCAAATCCATGCTTCGATTGTTTACATGCAATACTCGATACTCTATCGATTAACATCGATACTTTAACGATACTCAAAAAGTGTAACAGCTTTGAAAACTTGTCTTAAAATATTTTTTAATCTTGATCTGCATCCAAAATATCATCTGAACACTGTGAAACTATTGGAAAAGCATTTTGAATCATGGTTTGCTTACAAAAGTTGTTGAAACAAATTGGCTTCCAGTTGAAAAAAAATTCCATTTCTTTTCGTTTTGTTGTGAATTTCAAATTGAAGGCAGGATTTTGTTAATCCCATTGCCTCGACTGTAACTTCCATTGTTGAGGCTACCATTTATCTCACTAAAACCGATGACTGTATAGCCAACTAAAATGACTCTTAACAACAAGCTGAGAAACTATTTTTTCATTACATTAACTGTCACATTAGATTTTTAAATCATGGAAATATCGTAAAAATGATTAAAAGAAGAAAAATTTATTCAAATTAAAACTTAGTAGGAATCTTGTAAAGCGGTTCCATGGTGTAATGGTTAGCACTCAGGACTTTGAATCCTGCGATCCGAGTTCGACTCTCGGTGGAACCTCATTTTTGCTGAAATTGTTGATCTTTTTAATTTACATTTTAAATCTGTAACGGAGATTATTGATTCTAGAGCTTAATCTATGCGCTAATTTTTCTTTGCATCATGGTAACTACTCAATTTTTTTCAATAATTTTTGTAGATACTAAGATCTGAAAAGTGAAAAGAAAAGATTTGAAAAGATTTTTAAATTAGAGATTTTTTATTAACAAACTTCAACAAAAATTGTCAGTAAAATTAAGAAAAATTACAATTAAATTTTTGAATTTACATCTTTGCTTGACTTATGAACACATGATTGTCATTTTCCGATTTTATGAGGTAAGCGGCTTTCTCGGTTCCAACAATTTTTTCTAATTGAATAACATCAAATTTGTCAAAAATAACTGTGCAGTTTACCGATGCTTCATCACCTTTGAACTTTTTTCCCTGAAAACTGGGATGCAATAGATTAGTCAATTCGCTGTAGAAATGAGGAAACGTTGGTAATTGATAGAAGACTAAATGCCTGACTCCCTTGATTCGAAAACGATTGTAAAAGTGACTTCTTTCAGTATACAAGAGAAAATTTCTTCCTTCATGGAAAAACCAGGCTCTTGATTGAGCTATTTTACCAGATTTTGAGTATTCACATATTTGGGTAAAGTTGATATCCTCTGTACGGAAATAGTTTCGTAATTTAACAAAATCAAAGTAAGACGGTATGTAAATCATGGTATGAGCTTCACCCATTTCTCGACATTTTGGAAGAATTACTTGAATGAAATAATCAAATCTTTTATCAGGCGAGGAAACGATTGAATCCGATTCGAAACGGAAAAACGATTGAGGGCATTTGACAAAAACAAGGTGAAGTTGATCATTAACTGGTAGTACAGGACTTTTGATGATTACCCGGCCTTCATAATTGAAACATCGATTTTTAAAAAGTGAATTAATCTGAGGAAAACTGATGGAGCTAAAGATTGCCGTTTGACGATAATATTTATAATGACCATCCAAGGCCCACATCCGAACACGAGAAAAATCGGTACCATGGGAATCATTTGGTATAAGATTTATATGCTTCATTAAATCTAAAACATGTTCCCAGTTTTGCATTAGAAAAACATCGGTTTGGTCAAGAATTAGTATTTCTATGGAAGATAGAAAATCAAAATCTCGCTCTTTTTCTCCTTCAGCACCAATAATTAGTCTTAAACCAAGAGGAGAGGCAACTACGATGTCACTCGAATAGAAGTCGGTATATAACTTTAAACTTTTTTTAGTGACAGCAATCCCTATCCTGAAGGAATCATCAATGTTACCAGCGAATAATTCATTATAATCTTGAGGTTTGTTGGGCTTTATTGTCGACTCGGTTGATTCAAATTCATCTTTAAATCGCTTATGGTTCATGATGTTTAGGCGTTCACTTTCATCTTCATCATTGGAAACCAAGTTAATAAATAAATTGATAGTACGATATGCACTTTCCCGAAAAGGTGAAACAATTAATACTTTGGGTCTAGTTAATCCTTGGTCTCGGTAGTCAGGATTTTTCTTATTGCCTGTTTTCAACTTGGCATTGTGATGAATAACTTTATTCCTCGTTTTAAGCACATGGTTGAGGCAATGAAGAGTGTAGACCAATCTTATCTGCTCGCCATTAGTCCAATCTCGATTACAATAAAGAAGATCTTTGTAGTCGTTAAGAATCGATAAAATGTCAAATTGCAGGCCATTCAGTTTTGGTAGCGGATCATCACCATCATAAATATTTGCCAATGTCTTGGGTAAATTGTCTAGTAAACTTTGTTTCAGGTCGAAATCCATTAAAGTTTGGTTTACCTTGAGATCTTTCTTGTTTTCACTTTTTTCATCAATACGTCGATATTCAAAATAGCCCAAACCAAGATGGGGTAATTCAATTTCTACTCTTTCAAGAGGCAGTGAAGAGTATTTTGTAAGACCCGAGATGTTTGCATCGATGTGTTTTTCAAATGTATTTTCAATACTTGAAGGGATTTCAGATGTTTCCGGACGAATCAATCGCGCTTTCTTACGAACCGGTTTTTCACTTTGTGACATGGAAGAGGTTGAAGAAATGTAATCCATCGAAAAAATATAAACTATTGTCAATGAATACAATAAGAAAATATGATTAACCACAAAACCATTTACCTCAAAAGCAACTTCACATGTTAAAAACAAATTTTAAATAAATCCCACATGACTCTTCATTTTACACATGCCCAGAGCTAGTTCTTCAGCCCGGCATCTTTGAATAAGTCAAATGATGGTCTAAATCAAAGAGTAAAGGAGTCTTCTGGTTTGTAGGGACATAAAAACTGACAAATTGTGAGTCCATTGTGTGATTCAAAGATTGCACTGATGGACAGTTTTCGAAAAAATCGAATTCGTTATTTGAACTTGGATCGCGTTTTGTATGATTATGGAAGAAGATTTCTTCATGAAATTCATTTAAATAATAAAACTTTTGATGGCAAACCAGAAAATTTTATTTTGAGAAACAACATTTTCTGTTTTCTGTACAACAGGTCAGTTCGATTTTCAGTTAAATCGACTTCTTTCTGTGATCATGAGACTTATTTAACAAAACAAACTCATTCCAACACATATCTTGGTAAATAAACCAATTTTCTGGTTAATGTTTCAATCAAAATGTAAAAAGTAATGCTAGAGACTCAAACGTTTAATTTAAGGGTTGCGATTGTTGTAGGTTTGTAGGGACATAAAAACTGAGTTTATTGGTGCTAATAAATAATTAATCTGAGTGACAGTTACCGAGAAAATCGAGTTCAAAGTTTAAACTTCGATCGCTTTTTGTACAAATATGCAAGGAAATTTTCTCATGAAACTCATTTTGAAGATCTAACTTTTGATGAACAATCAGAAATTGGTTATATTTTCAGAAAAAACTCTTTATGTTTCTGTAAAACAGATCAAATTTAAATTTAAGTTAACCCGATCGCTTTCTTTGACCATAAGGGTTAGCGATCAGAAACTTATTATTAGTCCATGAAAAATTGTCGCTTCACATTAAGGATTAAATACTTGGATCGATCTATCAACCATTCACTTGATTTTGGCCATTTGTCTTAAAACTTTTCGACTCAATACTTCGACAATGGCCTTCCATACAGCCATCGTTCTTTTCCAAACATTAAATTTTATTATAGCTTATAACTCAATACGACTAAATACCGAATAAAATCGGATGGATCTGACATACAACCATCGTTCTTTACAAAAACATTAGATTTTATTATGGCTAATAACATAATATGATAGAATGCCGAATAAAATCTGAGTTAATTCATTTAAGAATAAAGATCTTTCTAACACATGGAGATTTGTGTTTGGTATCAATTCAACTTTATAAATTAAGTCTCAAATCTAACAACATTAGTAATCCAATGCTATAAATTTTTCAGTATGATCTTGAATGGTTTAATGTTTCAATATATTCCAGCCTAATGCAATCTAATGTTTGAGCCAAGAATAATGATCGTGAATGGAACCATTTTCAAAATATTGAGTCGCAAAGTTTTAAGACTATTGCCTGTTGCCAGGAGAACTGTTGCTAAATGAGCAAAATTATTCAGTACATGATGTGGAGAAACAATTTTTATATACTTGCAATAAGTTTCAGATGACTAATTCTTATGGTCATAGAATGAGGTCGATTAAATTAAAAATCGAACTATTCTATTTTACAGAAAGAGAAAAGTTGTATTTCTCAAGATGAATATTTTTTTGGCAGATGATCATAAGTTATAGCGGTAAAATAAGTTTCATGAAAAAAGCCGCATGCATAGCTTGAAAAAAGGTGATCGAAGTTAAACTTTGAATTCGATTTTCTCGGTAACTGTCCATCGGATACATTACAGTATAGCACCAATGGACTAAGTTTTTATGCCTCAATGGACCCCCCAAGTCTAAACTCTTAGCTCACATTTTCGTGTTTCTAGCATTACTTTTTGTTTTTCAGTTGTAAGTTTAACCAGAAAATTGGTTTAGATACCTAGAAATGGATTGAGTTGAGTTTGTGCTGTTAAATAAGTTGTTCATAGTTCATTTAAAACCCAAGAATCATGATCCAAATTCAAGAATAAAAAAGTTATTAGATTGATTTGATTAATTGATTAGTAACAAACAAATCGGTGAAAGAATCATTATTGTAAGTGTGACCATTCTCGAAATATTGAGTCGTAAAGTTTTAAGACTAATGACCAAAATCAAGAGAATCGTTGATAATTTGATAAACCTATTTAGTTTAGGATGTTAAGGGACAACTTTTATGGTCGCAACATAAGTTTCAACTCGCTAATTCTTATGGTCATAGAATGAGGTCAATTAAACAAAAAGTCGAACTATTCTATTTTACAGAAAAAGAAAGGTTTTATTTCTCAAAATGAATACATTTTCTGGTAGATGATCAAAAGTCACACCAGTAAAAAAAGTTTCATTGAAAAAGCTGCTGCCATAAGCATCCAAAATTCAATCGAAGTTTAAACTTTGAACTCGATTTTCTCGGTAACTAACCATCAGATGAATTATTTATTAGCACCAATGGACTCAGTTTCTATGTCCCTACAAACCAACAACAATCGCAAGCCTTAAATCAAATGTCCGAGTCTCTAGCATTGCTTTTTGTATTTTAGTTGTAACTTAAACCAGAAAATTGTTTTATTCACCAATAAAAAGGTTAATATGAGTTTCTTTTGTTAAATAAGTTGTATCTCGTTCATTCAAAGCCCAATCATTATGACTCAAATGCGCTAATTCAAAGCAATTTAACAGTATTGCTTTATTAATTAGTATAGAGAATGCTTGATGAAAGAATCATGGTTGTAGGTGATGCCATTCTCGATATATCGAGTCGTAAAGTTTTAAGACTAATAGCCAAAATCAAGAAAAGTGTTGTTAAAATGTTAAAAATTTACAATCCAAGTTGTGAAGAAACAACTTTTATGGACTTATTATAAGTTTCAGCTTGCTAATTCTTATGGTCATGGAATGAGGTCGGTTTAACTAAAAATCAAACTAATCTATTTTACAGAAAAAGAAAAGTTCTGTTTCTTAAAATGAATACATTTTCTGGTAGATTATCAAAAGTTGGATCTGCAAAAAGAGTTTCATGAAAAAAGCCGCTCGCATAATTGTACTAAAGGCGATCAAAGTTCTAACTTGTGACAAGTATCAAATTTTAAACTACGATTCGAAAATTGCATTTTCTCGAAAACTGTCAATCAGAGAAACCTTGAATCGCACAAATGGTCTCAGTTTTTATTTCTGTACGAATCAACAGAGTGCAAACTTGAAAGAAAATAATTTTTACCCATTCCTGCTCATTTTTCGTTCAGTGTTTTGTTAATTTGAGCATAAATGTGATAGTTGTGTCTTTTTCATAACAGCCATGAAAAAGTATGAAAAATAGCCAAATCTTACTTCATTATTGAATTCAAGTTCACCATTTCCAATTATTGTAAATGAAAGTGAATAAACTTTGTCAAAAATTTTGTTAGAGATGAGGTTTACTTTGATGAAATGGTATGTTATTAGAACCAAGTAGATGGATTCACCAATAAAGCGAACAAGAAAAATGATGAGTGAAGATACTGAATTTGCTTCATCAAGAATAATACCAAAGATGAATAGACAATAACCAACAAAATAAGTGTAAAAAATGAAAATAGTGAGAGAGAAAAATTTGTTGACCAAAGAAACTGTTTCTAGTGCTTTCATGTATGCAAGTCGAATCGATTGCATTTGCTTTCCAATGTTATGTCCACTTGTAATCGTTTTAAAGTCAAGTTGCTCAAGTCGATAATCAATAACAATGAAAGCCGAATGCAAGTATAAGCACGTTTCAACGATGAACTGAAGGAATGAAGTCCATCCAATTACAAAGAACAGCGAAAGTATTTGATGAAAAATGATTCTTCCAAGTTTACCATATTCTTGTGAAATATTCCTGGGCATGAATGAATGTTCAGCATCGCCAAAGTGAAGAAAGGCTTCAAACATGATCGTATAAATGGCCGTGTAACGAACAATTTTACTTTTTTCTTGAATAAACGAATCGGCATTACTTTTATATTGATCATTGTCACTGATCAAACTATCGAGAAACTTAATGTACCAGAAACGATTAAATACAAAGAGCGCAATTACAAGTCCAAATAATACTACGTAAGCTCGATTCCAAATGAGCGCATATCGTCCAATGCGACTGGTCGACTCTGTTTGGGTTGAAGGTTCGGTAATAATTGTGTAAAGTCCAATTGTTCCGTTGATTATAAATGCAAGAGAAACGATTGCATGAAATGATTGACTGAACAAGTTTCTCTTCAATATCGATTGGGCCAGAAATGTTGACGGTATAATTGATTGCTGTAAAACTGATGAATGTTGCATGATGAAGCAAATAAGTAGACTTTTTTTAGATTCAAGATTCACAATTTATATTGAACTAGCATTTGAAACGAAATCAAGTTAAAATATAACCACTGTTAACACTATTGGCTGGTTGTCAATAAAGAAAAGGAAACTTGATTTAGAGAAACATTGATTTCTGAATGAATCGATTTAACATAATGAAGTTTTTTATTAAATGCCAATTTTTTTACATTTTATTTTCAGCAGTAAATTGAATATTAATCCTAATTATTTCTATTCATCAAACAATCGATGAAATTGAAACTACATTAAATATTAAATAGTTCAATCTACAATCTAATTCTTTGCTGCATACACTTTTTAAACAGTTTTGGTCAATTTTTAGCTGTGTAACTATTTCAAAAATTTGAACAAAATACACAATTTATTTATTTGTTGAAGAATGACTTATATATTTATTCAAAGCATTTTAAGAATTATTGAAAAAGTTTGGAATCAACAGATAAGAGGTGGTGGTGGTGGTGGTTGGCCCATCTTAATTAATTGTGCTAATCGCAATTTTGACAGAACTTCATTTTCAAAACTATCTAAAGCTTGATTGAAGGATGGGCCATAAGGCGATTGTTTAGGAAGGGTCTGAATAATGATTGTTAATTTTTTAACAGATAAATTGTCAAATCTTTCATTGAGCACTTTCATAACTTGTTCTTTGTCCTTAAATTCAATTTCTGCATTTGAAGATTTGGGTGACATGATGACGTTGACTGGACCAAACTTGGAAAAAATGTTTGATAATATTGCTGATGATACATCAAATTTGGACGCCCATTCAACTCTTAATCTGTACAATATTTCATCTGAAGGTCCAACACGATGAGCAATGTCTCTTAAATCGTGTTCAACTTTAATTTTGAGTTTCTGATTTTCCCGATCCAATTGTCTAAGGTTTGCAATTCTGGTTTTCTCGGCATCCTTCATCCTGGCGATATCTTCCATAATCTTCCTTTCTTTCTCTTCCTTGGCCAGTCTTTCCCTTTCTTCCAGTTCATCACGAAGTTTCTTTCTCTTGGCATCGAGTTCAGCATCTCTCATTTTCTTTTCCTTTTGGGCTCGAAGTTGCCTGTCATATTTTTCTCGGGCAGCCGGATCCGTTAAGATGTCTAGAATTTTCGATAACTTTTCAAAATCTGCTTTTGCATGTGGATTTTCCAGATTTTTATCCGGATGAAGTATTAAAGCTTTTTTCCTGTAGGCCTTTTTGATTTGAGAAGTCGAAGAGGCTGAGGAAATTTCCAAAAATTCATAGTAATCCATGGAGTCCATTTCAGCTGATTAATTCACCAAATAAGATGTGACAAAAACCTATTGAAAATTCAGGGAGATAATAGGACAACTAGTCAATGGGTAGTAAACAAATGAACTTTTGTATTAAAAGATAAAATTTAATAGAGATGAAAAGAAATTGATTCATTAAACATATTCAATCATTTCCCATCTACAAAACATCTGTATTTAAAAAAATGTTTTTGGATTTAGATGTTGGCTACACCAGCAGATGGAGAAAGAGGTGAAACAAGGCGCAAGATTTAATATCGAAATGTTTAAAATATAAAGGATGTTGAAGGATGAAAATATTGAAAATCTCGGAACAAGTTCAGTTTCTCATAAGATTCACAGTCTTAAACATAAAGTTTTAATAGTTTTATTATGACAATACAAGAATATCGTTTTGTAATAAAGTTTTGAAAAATTAAAACTTGATCACTCAATTTAGATTAAGCAGTTTTCTTGATAACACTAAAGAAGCCACCAGTTGTTGAGAAATATTTTCCTGAAGTATCATTTGTTTTAGATTCAGCTGCTTGTGGATTAACAATCTCTAGACCTTGAAGAGGTGTGAATGCGACAGAAGATGCTGTACCAGAAATTTGTCTTTTAACGGTCGTTGTTCCACCATAAACTTGTTGTTTTTGCAAGTTTTTATGAAGTGTTTTAGAAATACGAACTTTGGTTTTCTCATCAATTTGAGGGGCTCTGATTCTACCCATTGCTGATTTTCCTATCTGTCCAGTGGTAAAACCTAAATCTTCTTGATAAGCGTCATCCTCAATTTCACCAAAGTTCATCCTATTGGCTTGCTTTCTAAATTCAGTCATCGCCATTCTTTCTTTCATTCTTCGCACTCTTTTACCTCCTCGCTTCTTTCTCGGTTGATCAATCGGTGGTGGCAATGGTTTAACTTGTTTAACAGGTGGAGGCTCTTGTAACTTATCAAGAGCTCGTTCAATTTTGGCTCTAAAACTTCTACCTTGACTACCATCTGGTGAAGAATGGCATGCATCAACTCGAGCTGCTATTGTACACTTATTAGCTACAAGATGTGCTGCTTTACGTCTTAAATCAGGCGGTGTGTCTTGCACTATATCAGTTTGAAATACAAAACCGGTGTGGGGTAAGACTTGAGTTGATGAAAATCCAGACAAGGTTTTCTTCCTCGATCCAAGAACCTCGACATTGCAAGATGGCATTTTAGATAAATTGGTTAGACCTCCGGCTAATCCCATTAATTTTGCAGCGATATTTGCACCAACAATAGCTGAAACATTCGGGGCTATAAAAGACATTCTTGACTCGACAAATTCAAATATTTTTAACTTAAATGTATTCAACTCGACTGCCATATCGCAAGCTTCGTTAACAGCATTCAGCTCTTCCGTAGAAAGTTTGATTCCTTGTGTTGTTGATGCACTAACGCTGACAACCATGATTGTAGCTTGAGTCAGAAACTTTTGTAATATTTCATTGTTTTTGGCCTTATCTAAATAAAAGAAAATAATATCAATGAAAAAGTATATAAATCAAGGAACTTTATAACTCAATCTTACCCAGATCATTGCCTAACTCCTTGACAGTCATTAAATATTCCAATGCATTTGGTATAAGTGAATCAAGCTCTGGAAATCTTTTACTATATTTATCTTTGACAAATTTATGGATTATATTTATATCGTCATCAATTGCGACAGTTAGGTTATTGGCTTCAACAATCAATTTATATTCAGGATGAGCTTCAACGGGTCCATCTAAGCTGTCTTTATCAATGAAGCTTCCTTGCTGGTCAGTTCTCTTCTCTATTTCTAACATGATTCTTTTCAATTCATCTGAATCTCGAATAGTAGCTAACTTCCTGATTGAACTGGTCATATCAATATCCATGCTTTCTTCCCCTGCACTAACATGATTGAATCCAGAATAAGATGCTTCACCCGAATGTAAATCACCAGACAAATTGGTATCATCATATCCACCATCATCTTCAAGGTCAGCCAACAACTCATCAGCTAATGACATTTTGTCGGATTATTTTTGCCAAAAAACCAAAAATCTAAATAGATAATTTAATCAAGGGTTAAAAAAGAAAAAGCAGGGTGAGATATTGAAATCAGCAACAAATTAAATGAGACGTACTTTTGAATACCACAGGTAATGATAAATATACACAAATTACGACTTCAATGTTTCGGTGAATCCGATTTCATACACTTTTGGAGGTAATTTAAAACAAGAGGCGATCTCATCAAAGACTGTAAAGAAATGAAAAAACAAATGCATTAAAGTTAAGGAAAATAACAAATGCAAAACAATAATAAAGATAAATACTTACCAATTTTTTTTCAGTGAGGATATCTTCAAGAATTGAACTGTCAAAATCAGAAGAAACCGAGCATCCCACACCACTGGATGAACTAGAAGACGATGAAGAGGATGATAATGAAGATGATGATGTTAAGGAACCAGATTTACGAGGTTTAGAGTCCATAACACAAAGCCCGACAACACTAAAATAGGAAGAGAGTTGGTCAATATTGAATGAAATTCACAAATTGTATTTTTTCATTCAGCTGTTCTCATTTGTAACTTACATTGAATCAAACAAGTAGCCAATCAGAGTGGAGGCGCTCTTTATGAACAACTTTGTATCTACTACAGTGCACATTGCTTTTCAGGTTATCTTATGCCTAGTATATTGTCATTTATTTTTAGTTAATTTGTGTTTGTTTTATTTCTTTAAAGTCTTTAAATTAAATTGTGGCTCAAGTTTTTCTCAGAATGGAAAGAATGTCTCGAACTGTGAATCCCATCAACAAAGTTTTATTCGAAATGATGGAGCGAAAGAAAACAAATTTATGTTTAGCTGTCGATCTAACTAAATCAAGCGAGATTATTGATATTGTTGATAAAATGGGCCCTCATGTGGTAATCATCAAGATTCATGTAGATATAATTGAAGACTTTGACCGTGAATTCATTGAAAAAATGGTGACTTTGAAAAAAAAGCACGATTTTTTAATATTTGAAGACAGGTAAGAGTGCAAAGTGACTTCCACAAATTTAATCACTAAATTCGTATTTTATTGAAATAGGAAATTCGCCGATATTGGAGCTACAGTTTTGAAGCAATATGTTGGTGGAATATTTCGTATTCAAGATTGGGCAGATTTAGTAACATTGCATGTGATTACTGGGACAACTACGATTGAAGCTCTCATGAAGGTAAGTACTAAAGCAACATGTGTTTGCAATAATGTTAACATTAACCGTTCTTTTTTGTTTTTGCAGGGTTGGACAAGCTCAGAGCCTCGAGGTGTTCTATTGATTGCTCAGATGAGCCATAAAGGTAGCTTATTGCATGAAGATGGGGTGAAGATGGCTGGTCAAATCGCTCAACAATACCCTACTTTTGTTTCTGGATTCATCAGCCAAGCAAAAGTCTCGAATGATCCGGGTTTCATTCAGTTTACTCCGGGTGTGAATATTGGTTCAACTGGTGACGGTATGGGCCAGCAATATGTCACACCAGAAGAAGCCGTAATCAAAAGAAATGCTGACATAATCATCGTTGGTCGTGGTGTGCTACAAGCAGAAGATCCTGTAAAAATGTTGCTAGAATTCAAAACCCGTGCATACAGCTGTTATGCCATGAAAAATAAAGAAAATTAGACTTCATTAAAGTTTAAATAGCATCGGAAAGAATCTTATTTTATTTAATTCAGCTCGAATTCACAAAAATTTAAACTCTTAATATGGAATAAAATGGTGAATCAACTTTGTCCTTCCCATGTAAATCTGCTAATTCAATGATCACCATGCTACAGACAACTTCTCCACCACAATTTTTTATCAATTTGATAGAAGCTTCAAGAGTTCCGCCTGTGGCCAATAAATCATCAATAATAACAGCTTTTGATCCATTTTTGATGGAACCTTCTTGAATTTCAATCGTATCTTCTCCATATTCAAGTTTGTAGGACAATTTTTGTGTTGGTCCTGGAAGTTTACCTTTTTTTCTGATTGTTATGAAAGGTAACTTATGTTGTAGAGCCAAGGTTGGACCAAAAAGGAATCCTCTCGATTCAAGAGCAACAATGACATCAATTGGACCAAAAGAATTCAACTTTGCCGATAAAACATCGAGGGTGCTTTGAAAGACATCAGGATTCTGTAAGATTGGCATTATATCATAAAATAAAATTCCCTTCTTAGGAAAATCAGGATAAGTTGTTATTGTTGACTTTATAGTGGCCACTTTTTCACTCAAATCATCACCTTGGGAAGACATAATTTTCCTTGAAATCAGTGTTTTTACGCACGAAAATTGATAAAAATTAAACAAAAGATTTTAAAATTGAAAGATATTTAGACACTAGTCAATGAATGGTACTATAAAAATGTGTGCCAACTGACAACCGTATCTCTTTCCACACCTTCTCCCATCATTATCATCCATGCAAACATGGGAAATCACTTTGATGATTTTCATTTTTTAATCAAACAATAATCTGGAAAAATATAAAACTTTACTCTTTGGCTGACAACTTGTTAGAGGGAAGAAAGAGAAACCAGTTTTTGAGCAGCTTAAACATAATCCGTTGATAATGATTTGAAATTTTTAGCGCGAGTCTGCCTGTTTCAACCAATCCTGTTTAGTTTAAGCTCTTCAAGTTTCTCTGCAACTTCTCTCTTGTATCTTTAGTTTTGCATCACCTTTCTATGGAGGATCTAGTTTACCCACAAAAGCCCATTACATTTTATCCTCATCAATTATTTTTGCTCTTTGTTTTCTCTGCCTTTTCCCCTCTTTATTAATTTCTTAATCTTTAATTATGGTTGATCAACCTCTTGATCAGGTCAATATCGATACCAATTTACCTCAACTAAGATTAGGTGAGTCTTTTTTCTTTCTCTCTTTCTCTCTTTCTCTTTTGTTTGCTTGAGGTTATCTTAAGCGCCATTTCTGTTTACCATTTTTTGTTTTTGTTTGGTTTGATTATTTTTGCTCCCAATCGACTAATTGTCCTCATCTTCTATCTATATCTCTTCTGTCACTTTTTATCTCTGGTCTGGTCTTCTCTATCTTTTTTTGTCTGTATTGGGATATTGGGATAACCCTTTATATCGATATGTTATATTCAGGTGAAGACTCGCAACCTGGTGAAAATTCTTTCTCGTACAATGAAGCCGGATCATCAAGTCAATCTGGCAGACCAATAAATCGATGGACCAAAGAGGTAAGTGACATATTGTTACAGAACGAATCTCAGTTTTGGCAACATATCTTACCTATTTGCGCGCTTGACATTAACCCTTTTTTTTGTTCAATTTGTGAATTTTCAGGAAGATGAATTGGTGATTCGCCTTGTGGAAAAGTATGGTCCCAAAAAATGGACTGTGATTGCTCGAGAACTCAAAGGCAGAATTGGAAAGCAATGTCGAGAAAGGTGGCACAATCATTTAAACCCACAAATAATTAAATCTTCTTGGACGGATGAGGAGGAAAGGACAATAATCGAAGCTCATCGTACATGGGGAAACCAATGGGCTAAAATCGCCAAGTTGTTACCTGGAAGAACGGATAATGCGATTAAAAATCACTGGAACTCTACATTGAAACGAAAAGCCGAAGCTTTAGAAAGGGGTTCACCAGTTCCACAGCCACGTCGTAAACGTCGTAAAAAGCAACATGTTGATCTGGATGACTCTGCAGTTCCATATGAACATCAATCGATGTCAATGTTCTTCAATGACAGTACCAACGAGAACAATGACCCTGATACCACCTCAGTGAAGCAAGAACCGCGCCAAGAAAGTTACACAGAACAAGAGAATGTATATAATAATCAAGAAAATGTATATGATCAAGAAAATGGATACACTCAGCATGTGGAACCAAGATACTTAAGTTTTGCTCATGATTCTACATATTTTAGCCAGTCCTCATCTTATTCTAATCAGACCAGCAATTCATTGCATGACTTAAATTTAACCAATGATAATAATCGTGTCCCTCTCGGTGATTTGAAAGTGATACCTCAGGATTACGACGAACTCAACGATTTAAGTGATCTATTACCACCTCTTAATGCTGAGATGCTCAAAAAAGAAGGAGTCGACATTTCTGGTTTTGAACCTGAATCGTTTCATGAAAATTTCCTTATGGAAATGTTGGATTCAATTGATACTTCTCCATTATCTTTAAGTTCTTTTGAGCTATCTCATAATGAACCTAGAAAGATCCAAAGATGCAACAAAGATGTAAGATTCATAAACAACTCTCTCAATACTCATGAAACATTATTATCAGATCTTTATCATCTAACTCATCTTGACAAAACACTTAACCTTTTTTTCTCATTTTCTTGCATTCCAGACTCGCCGTCGATCAGGTCCGGCTCGCAAATTGGACTGGGAAAAGGTTACCTTGGGCAGAACTCCTGATCAAATTGAATTGACTCAACAAGCGCGTGCATACCTTAATTCTCAATATCTGCATTAATACTTAATTGAAACTTATTGTTTTACTTTTCTACTCAAACTCTCAATGAGAGATGAAGATATCACGTTAACAGATTGCTTAATACCTTGGTAAACCAAATAGTGATTTTTGGCATGAGTACCAACCTCTAAATTAGTCTTCAGTGGTTCACAAACAGTCAAAAAACAACAAAAAAAATATTTTCGTAAACTCACATCACTTCACTATATCCAACCACCTATACACATTGCACCGGAGCGCGGAAAAATATTGATCTATTATATTTTTACACTTAATTTAATACAAATACTCGCAAAAAATAGGTTGCATTTTTGACTTGAATCTTGTCAATTAACTTAATCGTGGGCCAACAAAAAAAAATTTATATATTCTCACTAAATGTTGAATGGATGTATATTTTGGAATGCTCTTTTTTGCGCTCATCAATAAAAGATTAGCCAAGCAATTATTGAAAGTCTCCTTTATTACCTTTACCAGACAACCTTATTACCTTTGCAACAATGAAAGAATAAAAGTGAAAACGGAATTTAAAAGTGTAAACATAACTCAAGTAAATAACGCAGGTAATGAAAGTCCAAACCCTTGTAATTATCAAATTCAATATTTTAATGGAGTTTTTAGGAAATGGTGAAACCTAACAATTCATTAATCTTCTATTAATAATCACCAGGAATGCTGAAAATGAAATTAAAATGCCACTTTCCAGTCAACAATTGGTTTTAATGAGTTAAAATCACTATCTATTAACAATTTAATAATTATCAATCAATAAAATAATCAAATCTGATTCATTAGCACCATCTTCATTATCATCCTCTTCATCGTCATCATTATAATAAAATGTCACAATAAAATGATTCAAACTTTATGCTTAAGATACATCATATTATTGTAAAGTTGATAAAGCTAGCAATTAACCTCAACTTTTATCGATATACCAATGTCATTTTGAATTTTGTTGCCAATATTAAATTAAATATCAATTCTAATCATTTCGTAAAAAAACCGATGACATGGAAACACTCTAATTAATCCGATTGGATACATATTAATCCAGAGGAAAGTTTTAAAAATGAAAATGTCTTTAATCCGCGTATCGAAAAAGTTTCATTTTTTACTGAAACAAGAATAATTCACATTTCAGGTTATTCCCCTGATATTTATCTTGTTAGCATTATACGTTATCCGCGAGTTCTCAGATACAGATGATTTGAAGTGATGCAAAATCTCAACAAATCACTACTACAATTTGGCTTCAAACACTGTCTGATATTGAAATGCATGAGAAAATTATGTCGTATAGTCGCCCGTTGATAATAATCTGTATTTGCTGGGCTTAAAGGAAGTAAATCCGCTATTTTTGATTTCAACTCTTCATTGGTAAGTATGGATCTAATCCTATCCAACATTGATTTACTGCTTCCATAACGGCAAAAGTACACCGTTCTCCACCACTCGGCCCCTTGACTTATACACCGATCTGCGCTGACCAACCTTTCGTCTTCCGGCAACATGCAATAATTGATAGTCAGTGAATTAGTCATACACAGCATTGTGAACCTAAGGATAAAACAATCGATGCCATGATCCATATAGTGTACCATTAGTTTGATTAACTCGTTACATAATAAAATCTCATTTTCACTATTTGCATGTAAGAATATGAAAAATAATTAGTCGAAGTATATTTCAATGTAAAAAAATAAGATAATTACATTGTTCGATCCTTGTTAATTTCTGCCTCTTGATTGTAGAAAAATCTATAGCTAGGTGGTTGGTTGTTTGGGCGTGGAGCTCCAGCAATTGCAATTAAATATGTACATTTTAATGGTATTCCAGAGATCGAGGCAAGCTACAATACAAGAAAGGAAATCAAGGAATTGATAGTTAATGACTTGATAATATAAACAAATGATTTTGCTTACTTGTTTGAAAAATTGTTGTGGCTCATAACACTGTCTTTCCTGTGACCATTCAATAACAAAGTCATAATAGACATCAGCTAGTTTCACTTTACATTTAACTAGAATAAATGCGAAAGATTAAATAGTCAAGAAGTAAATAAGAGACTGGACTTACTTGTTCCGAGGTTTTCAATATTTTGCTCCATTCCTTCAGAAGATATAATAATTAATAATTGAGTTGAACAACAGAAATGCTTAGATGCATACAAGATGTTAAGATACAAAATATCAAAAGTTTTGGCCTCAACAAAGACAGATTGGCCTGAAATGGAAGCGCTTTTTTCAAATGCAAAAAACAAACAAAATAATGCTGATGCAAATATTTATGCAAAAATAATATAAAATTTGCTGTTTTCCAACAAATAGACAAATATACATATTCTTATGAGTTGATTCAATAAGTTAAACTGCCGCATCTGAGAGTTAACTTAAACATATTAACTGAGGTAATTTAAACTCGAGAGTTAAGTCTGGACTTGTTTCTTTCATTGCTATTTTATAATGTGAATATGCATCTCTCAATTGCTGACAATTTATAATAATTCTCGCGGTAAAATTTAACTAAACTTATAACTAATCAATCATTTCCCTTAACTGTTTCCATTTCTAAGCAGATTATCATTGATGGTGAAGATCATTCCTAACGAGTGGATTCCCTTTATTTCATCTATTTCTTTAATTTATACACTTTTTTATGGACAAATTAACAATTACAGTCACTGTTGTCGAGTTCTGTATCCATAAAAGGTGATCCTAAGCAATTATTATAAAATTTAATGAAAAGATGAAGTGTAAACATAACTCAGGTAATCAAGGTCCAAACCCAAGTAATAATTATCAAATACAATGTTTCAATGGTGTTTTTAGGAAATGGTGAAACCTAACAATTCATTAATCTTCTATTAATAATCACCAGGAATGTTGAAAATCTTAAAATGCCACTTTCTAGTCAACAATTGCTTTAATGAGTTTAAACCTTTATCTATTAACAATCAAAAAATTATCAATCAATAAAATGAAATGAAATAAAATAACAAAAACATGAAGAATCTTCAATATTTAACACAAGATGTCACTTGGATATCACAAGTTGTGCAAATTTTTCTTAAGTTTACTTCTCATTTCATATGTCTGTCGTATTATTTCGGCTGTTGATTGTAAATCCAGTCTTGGCGGTTACTTCCGGTAATCCACAAGCAGCTGAATCCAAAACAAATGATACTTCATGAAATGGGTAGTTTCATAGAAAAAAAATTTTAAGGTTATTTGCGCGACAACGGTTTCCAATATAAAAAAATTAGTTTGAAAAAAATTTATTTCTGGTCATTTTTACCTATTCTTTTAGTCCTTATCCTTAAACCACTTTTTTCTTCATACGATCAGGTTTACAATTGAGTTTTGATGATTATTATCATTACATAATTGATCAAATAATACAATAGCAAATGTGGTAAAGATATTCATGATAACTTAAAAAAAGCGAGGTTTGTTATTAATCAAAGCCTTTTGTCTAAATTCAACCTTTTGTTCATCATTTTCTTTACCATGTTAGAACAATATTGTAACCTTTAACTCGACTCATTATTTCTTTTGTTTATCAGGCTCAACTAGGAACACCTTGGGTTAGCATTGAATCAAGATAATGAAATGAATGGAGATGTTATCAGGAGAACTACATATCAAGTAAAGGATTAATCGTTTTCAATCATTCCAAGCATTTCTATGAAACACTCATTTTCGATGTTCATTAAATGAAAAAATCAAACAAAAAAGTCCCTTCGATACAAAAATACTAATAAAGGCAGATGTGAAAAATATCATGAAAATACGAAACACAATTTTCTCTCCATCGACTTTGCAAGCTTGCTTTGAAAATAGCGCTTGTCTCAAAACTTGTTTTCGGTCAATAATCTGGTTCTTTGCACGGTCCTAAACCTTTTGAATTTTGTCAGTTTTACTTTTTCTTTCAGTTCAAACGTTTCACTATTCAACGTGTTTCCTGTTCATAGACACATATTGATAAATATTGATACTTGTTGGAATGGCAGAACAGAATAACTATACTGATAAAAGTAAGTTTTATTTTAGTTTTAATTTTGAGATAACTCACTCTTTACCTGCAATTTTATTAGCTACATTCAAAGTAAAGCATTTGGATGAATATCATGACATAGTTATTGATTGGAATGATGATAGACATGAATATAAATACCAACAACTATTTGAACAGGTAAGTAAAGTTTATCTTTTGGCCTTTGGACAATAACTTATTTTGTTACACATTTATAGCTGGAATCAATAACTGGAGTACCAAATAGATATACAGAATATCTTAGCCTGCATAGACCTCTACCTACGACCCTACCCGATTATTTTGACTGTGTCAACCAGATAGGGTAATGTTACATTTGTATAATTAATTCAAATTATCTATCATAAGATTAATACTAATCAATTGCTTATTAACTTTATTCATGCACAATCTTGATTCTACAGGATCCAAGGTAGACCAGATATCAGTGAAGCACGTATTCGTGATGGCGAATGTTTTCGTTTGAAATGTTGTTTACGATTTGAATGGTATTACTACAACCGTATTTGTATGAATTACAGTTTAGTAGCTGAAGTCGGCATTCCTGAAGGAGTCTGCAGTCAATTTTCTTGTCAATACCAATACACTGAAGCTTACTTCAAAAATATAAAAAAAATCGTTAATAACGAGGAATTGAATCTAAAAATTTCACAGATTCTCCAACCAGTGGAAAGAGGTCAACACTTAATAGCGGACCATGTTTTCAGAAAGTTCAATATTAAACAATATTTCAGTTGGAATTGTGAGTTTCGTTTTAGGTGGATAGGGCCTGATGAACGTATATTACACCGTCATAATTATCCAAGAACCCGTGGTTAAATTTCTTCTGATAAATGAACCGAATGTAATACAGTCAAACCTCTCAAAAAGTTGCATAGAAAGAGACGAGTCTGCTCCTTTTTTAAGAGATTTTTGGTGTCGTCATCTGCGAACGATTGGTCCGTTACTGCAACTTTTGAGAGGTTTGATTGTAGTTTACATAATGATTTTTCCAATAAAATTTTCCTTTTGATTTAGACTAGGTCAGACGATCGATCGCCGAAATCGGAGCGTTAGTAACAGATTGTTTCTAACGTATTTTTTATCGCGATGTTTCGTGAAATCTCAAGATGTTAAGATACAAAATATCAAAAGTTTTGGCCTCAACAAAGACAGATTGGCCTGAAATGGAAGCGCTTTTTTCGAATGCAAAAAAAACAAACAAAATAATGCTGATGCAAATATCAATGCAAAAGTAATATAAAATTTGCTGTTTTCCAACAAATAGACAAATATACATATTCTTATGAGTTGATTTAATAAGTTAAACTGTCGCATCTGAGAAGTAACTTAAACATATTAACTAAGGTAATTTAAACTCGAGAGTTAAGTCTGGACTTGTTTCTTTCATTGCTATTTTATAATGTGAATATGCATCTCTCAATTGCTGACAATTTATAATAATTCTCGCGGTAAAATTTAACTAAACTTATAACTAATCAATCATTTCCCTTAACTGTTTCCATTTCTAAGCAGATTATCATTGATGGTGAAGATCATTCCTAACGAGTGGATTCCCTTTATTTCATCTATTTCTTTAATTTATACACTTTTTTATGGACAAATTAACAATTACAGTCACTGTTGTCGAGTTCTGTATCCATAAAAGGTGATCCTAAGCAATTATTATAAAATTTAATGAAAAGATGAAGTGTAAACATAACTCAGGTAATCAAGGTCCAAACCCAAGTACAGTAGAGGTTCCACTTAAGTTGTACAAATTTTGATGGGCGACATCTAACGGAATAAATTTAAGGGCTAAATTTTTAGACTTTTTCATGGTTTTTGACACATTTATAATTGATTAAAGATGGAAAACAATCTTTTTTAATGCAATTTTGGAAGTGTTTCGTTGAATAATTCCACATTTGAGGTTCAAATCACTTCGATTAAAAATTGCGAAATTTTTGATTTTCATAAATTTGTGAAAAACATTAACCCGCTAGGTGGCAACCTAACAAAAATACAACCTAAGTGGGTACAACTTAACTGGAACCTCTACTGTAATAATTATCAAATACAATGTTTCAATGGTGTTTTTAGGAAATGGTGAAACCTAACAATTCATTAATCTTCTATTAATAATCACCAGGAATGTTGAAAATCTTAAAATGCCACTTTCTAGTCAACAATTGCTTTAATGAGTTTAAACCTTTATCTATTAACAATCAAAAAATTATCAATCAATAAAATGAAATGAAATAAAATAACAAAAACATGAATAATCTTCAATATTTAACACAAGATGTCACTTGGATATCACAAGTTGTGCAAATTTTTCTTAAGTTTACTTCTCATTCCGTTTGGTGGAGTTGACTGTAAATCCAGTCTTGGCGGTTAGTTTTAGTCATTTTGAGTCTGAGACTTAAACAGTTAAGATTGTGTCTGTTTTTTGCTCTTCTTTCATCTTTTTTTTTGTATCTGGTAAAAGTAATGAACATTATGGAAAGTTGTTTGGTGTAAATATGATTCTTAAATATGTTACATTTTTTATGGTCACCACTATTTTAATAGAAACCCATTCTTATGTGTTGAGTCATTTGACAACTATGTGCCCACGATTGGATTAAATTTTGTTGTTATATCGAATCATGCCATGGATAATTGTGCTTCTCACCTTAATAGAATTTTCTTCGGCCAAACTTGCTTCCATTGGAATTTATTGGAATGCCTCTAATCCAATATTCAGGATTGACAACACTGACCACATAATAGATGTAAATAGAGGAAACAATCCCTTTGAATATGATCAGGTCAACATTATTTGTCCAACTTATACCGAAGGAACAAATGAAGAAGCCGAAACTTACATCATTTACAATGTAAGTTAATTTTTATATTTTCATTATTTCTCCCTCTTTTTTCCTCTATTCAATAGTTTTTGTGAGAAAAGCCAAATGTTTTTTCATCCATTTTGGCCTCTCTTACTGTTGCTTAATCATTCAAAAAAAGGTCAAATATCATAGACAACAGAATGCAATGATTTCGGTTTTTTCATGTTAGATTTATCTTCTCATTTTTCCTGCCTTTCATAATTGAAGATAAACCTTTTGTTGGGTTGAAAAATAAAAACATGACATGTAACATCAACATTTTAATCTTTACCATTCCATAGCAACATTAGACTAACAAAAAGACTAGAAACCCAAATGAATCATTTACCTCTTTACTGATTTATCAATTTTACTTTTATTTTCTCTTCTCTAGTAGATTAAATTTTTACGATTTTATCTCTCTGATTGTGCCATTTTTTAAGCATCAATGGAAGCATAAAATAAATTGTTTATTCGCATTATTGTAGGTCAACATATTGAACCATTATTGGTTAGCAAAGTGAACAATTAAGATTAAGTTTTATCGTTTCATCTCGAGTACATTGTGTGTCCAGTATGAAAGAGCAGGTAGACCTTTTCAAATTACTGACAACCTAAGAGACTTGATATAAATATATAACATGGTTCCACAAATTTGAAGGGACAACATCAACAACAACGAGAACAAAAAAGGTTATTCTTTTACCTGAAGAAGAAGAAAAATGATCTGAAAGAAGATGAAAACTACTTGAAAAATGAAAATAAAACAAGCAACAGTGGACAGTTAACTCTATCAATTGTCAACCATCTTTTCATTTTCTTACACATCTTTGATTTCCACTTATCAATGCTGATTCTTTACTTTCGAGTTTCCACTTTCCTTTGTCTCCTTTACCCTCAAAACATGACCAATGTTACATCCGTAAAGTCCTTATTTTTCAAACAAGTTACCGTGTATAAGTGAATTAAAGTGAGAAAGCATTGGAGAGCAAGTTAATAACAATGGATGATATGATGAAGAAAAGAAAAGGTAAAAAGAATAAAGAATTTAAAATGAAAGAAAAGTCGCAGTCAATCGATGATTTAAATTGACTTCAAGTTGAAGTTCATTGATAATCTTTTAACGACAAACCTTGTCCATTTACCTCGACTGACTCTTTTCAAACAAATGTACAACTTCGCATACTTTTTTTGTTGAACTCTTTCCATTTATTTTCATCTTCTTCTCCATCTTGATAGTTTTCTTTCTTTTCTCAATCATTTTCTTCGTCATACTTGAGTTTATAATATTTGAATGGGTTGAGTTGGTTCCAATGAGTTTTGTCTCAACAAAAGACGACACAAAATGGATTATCCTAGTCTTGATTTAAAGTTTGTGACCATCAAAGGTCACCTTATTTTGTCTCTTTGTAATGCTTTATTGCTTGTTACTCTTTATGGTCCATCTCGGACATCTCCTCCTTTCTTTCCACCCACTTGCATTGTTCTCAGGGTAAAGGTAAAAAAAGGTAATGAAATAAAGATGACAATATGGTCCAAAGATGTGATCTTTTGTGTTATACTCTGTGAACCGCGAAAACCAAACCAAGTCCGATTAGTAAAGAATAGTTTCAACCAAAACCTTATCATAACTTTCCAATGAATCGATACTGAATTCAAGCAAAACTACAAATTTAAAATCAGAATCTCGTTTCATAGCTCGATGTCGATTCTTGTCTTACAATTTTTTCCCAATTCAAATTGTTTGTCCAGTTCACTCTTGACTTTCTCTGTTTTGTCTTCCTTTGTCTTGGCCCTTCAAAAAAATGCATAACTAAAGAGGATGAGGAGAAGAGTGAAGATAAAAGAGTATGAATAGGATGATAAAAATGTATTACTAACAAGACAATAACAACTTTTCTCATCTCCTTAAGGCTAAAAATTCGGACTCCTGAAGAGATTGGCCACTAAAAAAAGGGAAAACTTTGAAAGTGACTAAAGGAAGGAACCATGAACATTGCTCACTAAATCATGGTTGTCAATAGCAGCCAAGATTCAGTGAGGAGTAGAAAAAGAAACTAAAAAAAGATGATCAAATTGATGATTATTATGATAGTTAAAGTTGCTCTTGTTATTTTGTTTTGTTTCCTACTTTGTTTCAACTCGCAATATTTTTACCGTTTTACAATGTTTTACCTTTTTTTAGATCTGTAAACTTTTTATTTTCATTGCCCTTTACCTTTTTACCTTTTTGCTTGAAAATTGAACCATTTGCTATCATCCAATCAATAATCAACTGTCTTCACATTTTGCTAAATTTAACAATCATTAAACTTTATTAGGCTCTTTTATTTCACGAACAATTTTGTTTATTTGTTTATGCTACTTGAATAGCTTTTATTGACTACTATTTTTGTACCTATCGATAACTGCCTTAATGGCCTCTCTCTCTCTCTCTCTCTCGATGATACTTTTGTCCACTTTTACAAAGAGGTTCAGAAGAAGCCCAAAGGTGAATTATTTAAAATATCAACTTAAAAGGTCAACTGGTTGTTGATCATGGTATATGGTTACTATTTTTTCATCTCTTCTCATGGTTACTCTTGATTTTCCTCTCAATTCCCTGAAATGTTTTCTTCTCAATTGATCAATCGTTTTCTCGGAATAATTTACCATTCCCTACTTCATTGAAAAGGTTGCAAAAAAAGTTAACAAAATGAGCAACAAAAACCATAATAAGTAAAGTTATTTTCTGATGTTTATTTCAAAATTATTTGCCTTTATTTGCCTTTTCAATTTTCACGCTAAAAACACTGTAATAAGGTCTATTTTTTAGTGCATGTGAAAGTTTTTTTTTGTTTTTTCTACTTGTTTTTTTTCCTTCTTCCAATATCAACATTGACAGTGGCTTTTCAACTTAATGTTGTTACCGTTGTTGGTGATGATAATGGCGATGATTATAATAGTTATGCCTGGGAAAATAGTGATGAATGTTGTTACTCGTGTTCATCGAAGCGAGAGGTTAACCAATAACCCGATAAGACTCTGAACTGCAAGAATCACAGTGTTGGGTGATAATGATCATGTGAATATTTTTCACTCTTTCGAGGTAAAATTATCTTGTAACTTTCCTAATATAAAACCAATAAAATTTACACTCTTTAAGAGATTTTCCAAGACTCATGTCAATAACGTCTTTACTCTGAACCAGAACACAAAAAAACTGTTAACCCTGAAAGGTTGAGAAGAGCATCTAGAGCATCTTACATGATTATCTCTATCATCAGCTTTATACCCATCATCATTATCATCCCCATTAGACTTGTTCATTTGATTACCCTGCAATCAAGTTAATTGCAACTTGAAAGTAGCTTCAACAGAAATCAAAAAAGTAGCAAAAAGCAATGAAATGAAGAAGAAAAAAAAAGAGTTTCAACTGAAAGTGGTTAGGTGAAATGATGTAAGGAGAGACAAAGAGATGAAGATGATGGAGATGAAGGAAAAAAAACAAGAGATCAACATGAGATGTTGACAGATTAATTAGATTTAGTCCAATGTGTAAAAGTTTACTTCAAAAATGGTTCCTGTTGTTGTTGAGAGTAAAAGTTGTTGTACCTTGAAAAATGTTTCACCTTCAAACTAAATTGATTGGAAAAAGTTAACAATTTTTGTGTTAACCGTAACCAGATTTTAATTAAGCCATCTTTCTGGTTAACTTTTTTCTTCTTCTTCTTCCAACAATTGAACAGTTTTCCTGTTAACTCTTTACTGGTCTTGTTTGTTCATTCATTCAACTGCTCATCAATATAATTATTCCTAGTTGATTGTTATTTTCACTCAATTGAATTCCTACTAACCTACATGACTAGAAATGATGATAATCATTAGCACAGGTTGGCTGATTTTATGCAAATTTAATCTTCTCTTCTCTCTCAATCTTTTTCCCTGGTCATCATGATAATTGATGCAACACAATTTAAATAACAGTGTGATAATAATCGACAATTAATTCTTGATATATTCATCAGATATTATCAATTTATCTAAACGTAATGTACCTACATGTGTTATCAAGATATTTCTAACCTTTTTTTATTTCTCTTCATTAATTGTAATTAATAATTTGTGTGTGTGTCTGCTCATGTATTATCATATCAATTAAACTTTAATTTGCATAATTCACTGATTTAACCCTTGATTACTTTAAAATCAACATGTAAACCACAACTTTTTTTCATCCTTTTCTTGAATTCATCAAAATCTTCTCTTCACCTTAATTCAAGATAATTTGTCTTCTAACATTTTCAATTGGTTCCAATCAAACCACATACAGATAAGAATATTCTGAATTACTCTTTTTTGCTCATTCACCATTAGTTAATTATCATTATCACCATCATAATCTGTATTGAGATTTAAATTCCCACTGATTTACCTTTTATCCGCCGACGTACATTGACAGTCAACTCTAATAAAGTAAATAGTATTAAATTGAACCAAATGATTAGATATTAGAGAAACATTAGTCAATCAAAGTAACTAATGATGAAGATGATTCTGATGATGATGATAAGAATGAAAAAAAAACTAATGTAAATTGAAATAAAATATCATAAACCAGACCAGGAGCAAGCATTAAAATGTTGTTCCTTAACATGGTGAAGGCATAAAAAGAAGGTTAACTTTTGAAGTTTTCATTAGAACAATTTCCTGTTTCTGTCTCTTCCCTGAACAACTTGAAACTTCAGATGAAACGCTGATGGTTATTTCTGTATAAAACTGTGAAAAAGAAAGGAAAAAATAAGTTGAAACCATAAATTGAACCCACACCTTTACCATAAATTTAAACCAACCTGATGATCACCTTTATCATCTTAACAACTGAAAATAATTTTTCAATCAATCGAAAGGTAAAATTGAATTGACTCTTGGATTACATTTACTTTATAAGATTAACAGTGAAAATGCAATTGATTTCAACTTTCATCAATTCTGTTGCCATTTAAAATGTAATTTTTCACAATTTCCCT